CATACCAGTATGTTTAGTAAGCAGTCAACTGGTCATACCTTTAGAATTCTTGTCTGAGCATGCTTTTGTATTCTTTGCATGCTCAGGATAATTCATTCAGAATCATTTAACCCACCCTTCTTATGCTTAAGTATGAAGTGTTGACATTTAAACACAGAGGTAGCAAACATTCAACTACAATTACTACAATAGTACACACATAACCACATCCCAGTTTGGTTATAAAATCTATTTAATACCACAAATAATATCTTCAGCTAGTGTATTAAAAGGAGGACAGAATAAGAACACTTTAATGCTATAAATTCCATTTGAAAATAATATGTCTCTGTCCCTTTTACTGTACACAGCCATATGGAGCTATGAAGTTCCTTAAATAGTTTTCTGTTTAGATCCCTCTGCCAGATATTCTAGTCAGTTACTTTGGAAGCGGTAGGACCCAGAAACAATTATTCCAAGTTCCACATAACAAAGATAGCCTTTACCTCAATTTCCCAATAACGTCCTATTCCATTTCATCCAAGTCTTCATGACAATGACTTTTACCATGTACATTTCTGATTGTGATCACTTAAGCAATTTACGAGATGCTCTGGGCTTCTCGTATATTTCTTTTTCCAAGACCTTAACAGAATTGCTCTTGATACTCCATTCACAGCTATTGAGGCTTTTTCTAGCCTATTCCTCTAAATTCTTCTGGCCTGTAATCATTCATTTCAAAAATTTCTATTATCTGTTATAGCCCATCTTCTCAGTACCAAATTTCTGTCTTGGTCCATTTTGTGCTACTGTACCAGCGTACCATAGACTGTATAATTTATAGTGAATGTGGATTTACTTCTTACAGTATTAGAGATTAGAAATCTTAGATGAGGCAGGTGACATCTAGCAAGACTTTTTATGTTTTTGCTGTCATTCATGACAGGAAGCAGAAGGACAAAAAAAAAGTCACGAAATCAAAATTTTAGTTTTAAACCCTCTTATAATTGGTGTTATTCCATTCACAGGGCAGAGAGTTCTTGTCTTTACTACTGCTTACTGATGCCACTCCTTAATATGTTTTCATTGGGATTTACATTTCTGACACATGCTTTGCTAGGAGGGAAGAGTCCATTGAAACAATAGCATTGTTCTCAAGTCAAAATTAAACTTCCTATAGAAAAGCATTAATTCTGTTGTTTTTAAAATTCTATTTTATTGAGCTCTATAGCTTGACTGGAGGATTTAATCCATTGGGATGCATTAGATAATCATTAACTAAAGAATATTTATAGTTTGTTACTTGTTTTTTATCTCTTTTTTTCTTAAACTTTTTAATTCTACTTTTGGGTTTGTCTGAATTTTGTAATATACTATTTGACTCTCTTTCCATTTCTGCTTGTGTGCATATTTTTAGATGTACTTTTACTGGTTACCATGGATTATAATTATGGGTTATTATAGGAGGTTACAAATAACATCTTGAATTTATGACAATCTGGTATTAATTAATATCTACTTTAATAATAAGCAGAATATCTGCTCCACATAACTTGATCCTCACTATGCTGTTGTCACAAGTTACATCTTTACACATTGTGTTCAATAACACAGATTTATAATTATTTATTTCATTCATCATCTAAGTCACATAGAAATGAAAAATTACATTTGTCAAAGATATATTTTGTTCTGCAGCTTTGAGTTGTTATCCAATGTCTTTGAATTCCTATTGAAGGACTTGGAACAATCTCAATTTGGCTTATTGGGACATGCCTTGATTTGGAAGGGTGCCTTTACTGCCTTCGAATTCTTAGTTGACATTTCTCCTATGTCATTTAAACATGACATCTTGCTATCTTCTTGCTTTTTTCTTTTTCTCTATTTAAATTGGTTCCTTGTTTTAGTGAAAATTGTTTTTATGTGGTGGTTTGCTTTTCTTTTAATGCTTACTTCTTAGTGTTCTTATATATGTTCTTATATATTTGTTTTATGTATGTGGGTATTTTGCTTTGCATGTCATGTATGCATACCGCATGCATGCAGTGCTCATGGAATCCAGAAGGGAGTGTCGGATCCTCTGACACTCAAGTTACAGACTACTCTATGCCACCAGGTAGGTGTTGGGAATTGATCCCAGGTCTTCTGGAAGAGCAGTCAGTGCTCTTAACCACTGAGCCATCTCTCTAGGCCCTTCTCTTGTTACTTCTAATAAAATTTCTTTTTGAAAAAGGCCTGTGACAATTTGAGTAATATATGACTTACGTGGATCTCTCCGTTGACTCTATTTAGATATCATTGAACTTCTTGTGTTTGTAGACTGTTGCATTTCATAAATATTAGGTACTTTTGTCATGATTTAAAAATGATAATTGTCTTTCTTCATTTCTCCCCCTTTCTACTGTGATTCTCTTCATACATGAGCCCCTTAGGACTTATGAACTTTCTCCATTATTTTTGTTGTGTTCCCCAGAGAAGTTAGCAACAACTGTTCTTCCTGTGTTTAGGTGCACTAGTACTTATTTTGCCTAGTTAGACTGGCGCTGAATCTTTCTAAGAAAATTTCCCCTCCACTTTTTATAATTTTCAGTTCCAGTATTTTCACATGGTTTTATTTCATCTTTCCCTCTTCAACAATATTCTCACGACCGCCTATGCCTCATTTCTTTATGTTCTTTGCACATGACTTCCTGTTGCTTTTTGAACATGTTTTAGAGTTCTCTTAAAGTTCTGTCGGTCAGGCTATCGGGGGTGCACACCTGTAATCTCAGCACTCTGGAGGTAGAGGCAGGTTGATCTCTCTGAGTTTGAGGCCAGCTGGGTCAGCAGAGCAAGTTTCAAGGCATCCAGGGATGCACAGAGAGACCCTCTCAACAAAACAAAAGAAATAGGCCAGTGTCTAAACTTCTTTAAAGATGTTTTTGTCATTTTTTCCTTCAACTTTTCTTCATAAAATTTTCTCCAGTTGAAAACACAGAAGTATTGTTGCCTGTTGCATTGTATACCTGTAATTTGTTAGAGCTGATGCCGGAATTGGAAGGGTTAACAATTCCTGTATGACATAGGAACCTGGAAGTCAGATCTGCTTTCCTTCTAGATTGTTACTTAAAATTATCCACCATTTTAAGCTTTTAAATTTTTTTATTTTAAATTATTTTTATGTGTATGAATGTTTCACCTAATGCATGCATGTTTGTGTGCTACAAGCATCACTGTGCCCACAGAAGACAGAAGAGGACTTTGAATCCCCTGCAATTGTACTTATGGATGGCTTTGAACCACCATGTGGGTGCTGGGAATGGAGCCAGAGTCCTCTGAAAGAGAAACAAATGCTCTTAGCCTTGTAGCTTCTCTCTAGCCCCCTGATTTTCCAAATGATTTGTGTGTGTGTGTGTGTGTGTGTGTGTGCAAACTGATGATTTCGGTGTTGTCGCTGTAGCATTTGAGCATTCAGCTTGTGTGAAAACAGTGTTTAACACACATTTCCTTGCATATTGTTAACCCTGAAATCACAAGAATACAACACATTGCCCCTCCCTGACTTTTCAGGCTGGCTTTGTGCAAGGGCATCGCTTCACTGTGACGGGTTGCTTTCCTGAACAGAGAGCTTGCTCAGCAGAATTTAGTCAGCAGGGAAACATGGTCTCTTTTCTGAGCATGCTTTCTGTTCCAGACACGCCTCTGGTGCTTTTTCCTTCTCTAACTTCCTCAGAAAACTATCTTCCCAGACTTTCCTTTAGGCTGTAGGTTATGCTGTTTCAACTGGGGCCTCTTTCACAGTACGCACCAATTAGATGACATTTGTTTGGTTTATGTGAATGAGTACTCTTGAAGAGCATCATTTGATAATCAGGTTGAAAGAATTACAATGTTGTGAATGTTTGTGACATTTTGCCTTTCAGCCGCTAATATTCTCAGCAGTAAATCTCAAGAGTAGAAGTGGCTAGAGCCGGAGAGATGAAGGATACATGAGGTGTAGGGAAGAGAGGTTTCCTATGACCACTAATGTCCTCGCCATCTTTCTTTAATGTTCTGTCTGCCTATAGCAGAGAACTAAGTGGGCCTCAGAGTAGCCCTGTTCTGAGGAAACAGCCAGTTAGCTAGAAGAGTAATTACAATGGTTTCTTCCATTACAAACAGGATCCACTGTGGATGTGCTTGTATTCAGTGGAGGATCTCTAACTCCGATGCAAATTTGTTTAAGTATCCTAATGTGGCTTCCAGAAGTGCCATCTAAGGATTTATAGAATGCCTTATTCACTATCCTTTTATCCAAGCATTGTTTCTGACTCTGGAATACATTTATACATTGCTTTCCAGAGGAGTTTTATTAAAAAATATGCCCCTGCTGGAAGTAGGTAAGAATCTCCTCTGATATACATCCTCATCATTATTGGTTATTGTCAAATTCCATTTACCCATGAACAGTTGCTCATTTTCTAGTGAACCTGAAAAATGAGAATGTGGTATAGTTTAGCAGTTCATTTCATCAGTCCACATCCTGAAATACTCTGGAGAAAGTTTGTGAGAAAATATGCGCATTAATATTTGAAGCACCATCAGCAAGGGGGAGCAATTTATGTGTATGAAACAGTAAGAGAAATAAAGAGGTATTAGTATATCTACACAATGTAATATTGGGCATCCGTAGAAACAAGTGAATTATAGTTACAAATTGTGGTGTGAATAAATCCTCAAAATATTACATTGTGCTGAAGAAGTAGCCCAGAAAATAGTCAACATTATGATTCTATTTATGTAAAACCCAAGAAGAGCAAATATAAATCTGTTTTTAAAGCAATGTAGATAAATGTCAGAATCAATGAAAACAGAAAGGGGTGGTTAGCATAAAATTTCTCTGAAAGGGTAATGAAACGGGTAAGCCACACAGGGGCTTCTGGGATATTACCTAGCCTTGTTAAAGCTGGGAGGAAAGCCTGGGTGTGCTCATTTTATTATCTTTCCTTATCTATGTTTCCTGGAGAGTATAATCTGTTTCATCAAAACATCTCCTCTTTTAGGATTTGACAGAATTCAAAATATTCCAGGCTGTTTGTCACTAGGGGAACACCAAAGTTGTGAAGGAATGTGCCTCTCTTTCTGACCCAGACAAAGATGCCACATCATCACTAGAGAAGAGTTCTTCTGTCTAAAGGATGATACAAGTGAGTCTATACCCAGGGAAAGACAAGCAAGCCTTCCCTATTGGGGAATATACTTGAGCTCTATGGGAGACTCGGGTCTGGAAATGAGCGAGAAGCCAAGCAGCTACCCTAACCAAGGAAAAAAAAGACATCTTAGATAGAAAAAGGGTTTGTCAATAGTTTCCTTCTACATTGTCTTGTGAAAGTAAGGGCCTTGCAATTTGTGGACAGTCATTGCAACTACAGATGACTGGGGAGTGTTTGGTCCTCACTCCCAGTACCTGGGCTCAGCTGCTGCAACTCATCAGCCAGACGAGGGAGATGCTCAGAAGGGCACACCTGGCCTGCATTTGCAAGCAAAATGTATCTGCAGCTTCTATGCTACAACTCTGCTATTTCATGTAAGGCCTAGGTTCCTGGATCAGCCTTCCATGAAAGCATGAAAAACATGGCTCCTGTTTGGCCCCTATCCAGAATCTGATCATTTCCTACCACTCTTGGGTGGTCCCCAACTCTCTCAACATGACATTTTGGCACTTGTTTTTTCTCTCCTATCAGCCAAGTTGGAAGATGGAGACAGCATGGATTGTTTGAATCACTGTGGGAAATGGAAATCACCAATCTAGTCTGGTGGTTCTCAAATTGGATTGTGTGTGAACTTCACCTGGATGGCTTGTTAGAACATAGAGGTTTTGGCTTTCTCCCCCACAACTTTAGAACCAGCGGTTTATCAGTGGTTCAAGAGTTGGGATTTCTATCCGTTTTCCTGCGATTCTGATAATAGTCTGGAAACTTTCATAAGCATTTTTGATTTTCTCCAGAGCTTGGAAGTTTGGAGAAAGCAGAAGCTCCTCCCATACTAGAGCATCAGTTCACAAGTGACCTGGATGTATGCTTTACTGGATTCTGCAGTCTGAGACTGGGTATTGGCTCTTACAAACTATCGGTGATTCCAGTAGCTGTCCGGGCTCATTCGGGTCCATCAAACAGCGGAAAATGATAGGAAGGAGTCTCATGTCTGTCACCATGCACAAAGCTCAAGTCCAAGTGGATTAAAGACCTCAATATCAGTCTGAACACACTGAACCTGATAGAAGAGAAAGTGGGAAGTACTCTACAACAAGTGGGCACAGAGAGACCACTTCCTACGTATAACCCCAGCAGCACAGACAGTAAGGGCCGCATTGAATAAATGGGACCTCCTGAGACTGAGAAGCTTCTGTAAAGCAAAGGACACGGTCGCTAAGACAGAAAGGCAACCCACTGACTGGGAGAATATCTTCACCAACCCTGGAACTGGGTTTCTTAAAATGAAGCTTTCTATGTACAATTTGTAATTATCAAAGTTTTATGTGGGGTAATTGTGAAGTGACCCTCTGCAGGGGAGGGGAGGGGCTGGTTATGAGTTCTCTGTGGGTGCTTCTCAGTTCTAATTTCTTATTATAATGAAGACTGATTGGTAATGGGATCAACATTTTGCTCAAGGGCCTGCAAGTTTCTTTTTAGGAACAATTTCCCACTGCGGCACATTTGGTCTGTGAGGAGAGGGTAGCTGCTGGAGGCAGATGTACTGACAGGAAGCCAAACCCAAGCTGGCCTCCCTGCATGTGTGGCTGGCTCAAGGGAACCACCTGTCCTCCTTCCTACCCAAGGTGAGTGTAGAACAGCTTGGGCTGATGGCTGTCCCCAGATACATCCCGACAGGGTGGTCTCTGTGGAGGAATGAGATTCTATTAAATCTTAGTCATCCCCTGAGGCATCTGAGGGAGACAATAATAATCTTTAGATCTAGCCCTGAAGTTTAAAGAAATTATTAAGAATAAAATATGCCAGGAAACTTTGTAAAAACTGTCATAAAACACAAAACAAGATGCTAGGTTGGTCCCAGTCAATTAAGCAAGCTGGGATAAAGAAAAAAAAAAGAGTATTTCCTGAGCGTTTTCTCTGTACCTTGTAATTGAAATACCTCCGCTAATTTTCACATTCAGGGCAACACAGGAACCTGGAATTTGTCATTTTAATTATATGTGGAATTAAGCCAGGGTCAGAGAGGGTAATTGATTTCCCTAAAATTTGGCAAGTGGCTGAGTCTATGGTGTCCAAACTGGTCAGGCTCCAGATTCATGTTTACACCATAGGACCCTGTTTCCTCAATGTCAGGTCTCATTTATAGCAAAATACAGTAGGCCATCAAGGAACTAAATGTCTGTACGTACCAAGCATGTCTTTGTTGTCTGCAAAATACAGTTGGCTATCATAGAACTTAATGTCTGTACGTACCAAACATGTCTTTAGTTGTCTGCAAACAGTCACATGCTGATCAAACTCCATGCTCTCATCAAGGCTCATGGAATATTCATCTTCAATATTACTTAGGAGTCAGAAAATGCTAATTTATTCCTAATCATTTCTATCCCCAGCCCATCCTGTCTGTGCTCTTACCCTTCTACCATTTCTCCATCACACATTCATGAGTTCACCCGTTCACTCAATAGTCGTTTATTGAGAAGTTCCTATTCTATGCCAGCCATTTTTTTTTCCATTTTGGTTCTAGAGATACAAGACTGCACGAGATATATAGGTGTTTATGGACTTTTCTATTTGGAAAAATGTATATCAGTTTTGATTTTGTCTGCTGAACATGTTGTAATGAAAAATGCACTAATCTGAGGGGTGCAAGATTATTTTGTAGGAGACCTACCACTAAAGGAGTGGTTGCAAAAGTTCTTAAGGGAGAGAAAGGTCAGGCTCTACCAGATAAGTTACAGAACAAGAGATACAGTACAGAGGGGAGAATATTCCAGGCCCAGAGAATAGCGCCTGGGAGGGTACTGTCATAGTAGGGCCTGAGACAGTTTATAGAGCAGTGTGCTGTCTAGCATACCAACCATGGGGAAAGTTAGTGAAAGGTTGACAATGTGGTAGTAGAAGATCCGAAGGTTGTTGGGGGCTCATACATAGTTCTACTGCTTGGTAGCTCAGTGTAGGTCATGACCCTCTCCTGAGACCCTCTCTGACATAGAATAAGATACAGATAAAGATGCCTACTATTCTACACTGGTAAAGGGTTAAACAAAGAGCATGTAAAACAGAATTAATTCAAATGGGCTCAACCACCTTCTGCACTGTAATTCTCACTGTTCTTCCTCCCACTGTCCCTTGTGTCCTTGCCTTCATTAAAAGGTCTGTCCACTCTAAAACCTAGAATCTACGCTGTTTGTTTGCTGTATGGAAATGACTGATCAGAGGAGAAGATTGTAGTGATGGAGTGCTAGCCTTGTGACTTTCTGCAGATGGTATCCTTATTCCAGAGGGGCAGGAGAAAGATTGGGAGTTCTCTTCCTGAGAGTAACAGTGAAGGAGTGACTACTAGGAGCAACATTTTCAACCTTCCTTTGCTGAGGGCCTTTAATACAGTTCCTCATGTTGTCATGAACCCCGACCATAAAAGTGTGTTGTTGATTCTTCAGAACTGTGATTTTGGTACTGGGAGGAATCATTGTGTAAGCAATTATGTTTTCCTATGGTTTTAGGTGACCCCTGTGAAAGGGCCATTTGACCCCCAAAGTCTTCCTGGTCCACAGGTTGAGAACCACTGGATTAGGAGATTCCAAATAGCATCAAGTGTATTTAATCTAATGGTCAAAATAATGGTCTTTGAAAACATTCACATCCTAATCCTCAGGACTTTTAAAAATGTTCCTCAAATGGCAAACAGGATGATATAGAGGTGATTAAGCTAAGGATTCTGAGATAAGAAGATTGCTTAGATCATCTGCGTAGGTCCAGTATAATTACAAACATCCTTACAAATAAAAGGAGGAAATGGGATGTCAGAAGTAGTGGGAGATGCTGCTGACTGTAATAGGCCAAAGACTTTTGGATAGACTTTCTTCTCATGCATGGCTAGGGTCTTAAACTATAACATAAAAGAATTTCAGAATGGTCCAGTATGAACAACCTTTGGGATTTATTAAGAAAAAGAAGTAGAATATATACTTTAGATTTAAGTATAGGGAGGGAAAATGTAAGGGAGAGAAAAAGAGAGAGAAACAGAAAGATGAGTCAAGTGTCTTCATAATAACATGTGTGTGTATATGTGTGTGTGATTTTATGGCTTTCGAAGTTGTATAAGTAGTTTCTAACTTAAATTAAAAGTATATGAGCTGGTGTACTTGTTTTTCTTATCATCAGTAATTTTCTTATGTTAATGTAACATGGCTTATTCCATGCCCTGTTTAGATTTAGGAGATGAGAGAACATTACAGATAAGGCTACGCTGACTGGTTGCATATGCTTGGGGGCCTCAAGTGTACTCTATTTATTGTTTTACCCCTTCAGTTTAGAGTGCCTTTCAGAAGAGAGAGTATTATCTCTGTAGACACTTCTTCACAGTGGTTTTGATTTGTATTAGTTGTATCAAAAATCTTGAATTTCATGCATTGACAACATGAATCAGATCTCAGGCTTGGAGGAGCTTCTTTTCCTTCCCATGTCTTATTACTTTTTAGTCTTTCTATACTATGTAAGCTGTATCCAGAATAAAAGTGAAGAAACCATTGTCTTTGAGAGTGAGTGAAGGGGCCACAGGACAAGGAAGGACAGCAGTCTGTACACACTGGGGAAGGCAAGGAAAGGACACCACCTAGAAGCTCAGAGAAAATGTAGAGCCAAAGGAACTATTGCCTTGGTTTGGGCCCTTTACTACCCATTTCAGACTTGGAAGATGACAAATTAATGTTATTTTAACTCATAAAGTTGTGAAATTTATCATAATGACAGCAAGAAACTAACAAATTTCCAAATTGTTTTTCTTTGTTTGTTATGATATCTATATATGTATCTATTTATCTATTCAACTGCCTGCCCATCTGTCCATCAGTCCATTTATCCATCCATCCATCCATCCATCCATCCATCCATCCATCCATCCATCCACCCACCCCTCCATCTCTCTATCTCTCTATCTATCTCTCTGTCTATCTATCTATCTATCTATCTATCTATCTATCTATCTATCTATCTATCTATCTATCTATCTATCATCTATCCCAGGATGTCCTGAAACTCACTATGTAGACCAGGCTGACCTTGAACTCTCAGATCCACCTGCCTACAGAGTACTGGTACTCTAGATAATTTGGAGAAATTATGAACTACACTAAAGAAGTAAGTGAACTCCAAATCAGAAAACATCTGGTCCTTCCTTCACAAATTAATTCATTCACCTTAATCTTAGAGTTTCTCAATGTCCAGCAAATATTTAGACTGGTTATCAAATTATAAGCTTTGGTGTTGACTCCCTTCATCCCACATCCTCTGAATGTCTGCTATTGTATTAATCAGCTGAACTATTGCCATGCCAGAGTGTTTTAAGTCAGATACAACCTATTGCTAACTGGTCTCCAATCCTAATTTTCTTTTCTCTGTTTCCAGTCCTTTACAAAACCCCAGTGTAGTTCCCTCTCTCAAATCCGGCCAGCTACCAGATTCCTCATCTCTGTTGAGATGCATAAAAATAACTTAATTCCATGATTGGATTGTCTGCCTCACACCCAAGCCATCATTACCACAGGCAAAAGCACATTTTTAGCAAGCTAGTTAAAAATTTTCAGAGACAAAATTCCTTTCCCTTTTTCTTAACCCCACACCTTGTTGAAGTGACTGTATGCTTGGTGCTGATCTCATATTGGTTTTTTTTTTTTTTTTTGCAAGTAAACAATGGAGTTTTCAAACTCCATTGTCCATAGCTATTTTCTCTCCTTGCTGTTTGCCTTTTGATTAAACTTCTGCTTCCAGGCTTACTGTCCTTCAGATGTACCATCAGACCTGGATCCCTAGCAATGACGGAACAACACCTCCTGGACTGAGCAAATCGTTCTCATTCACCTATAAGAGATTAAACATTTAATGTGTCTCCCTGTGTCTCCTCTTACAAATCATCTGTCTCAATTTGGCACCAGTCTACTTTTTCATATTAATCTTGATTCAATTTTCTCCCAAGTGTTAAGTGCTCTGTACTGTTCCTGGCAATGTACCAACCCTTGAATACACCTGCCTCCATTATTCTAATTCTCCACCTCCATTCAAACTGTGTCCTGCTACTCTGACCCTCTTTCTGTTGCACTGCCCCATCCTCCCTCCAGACTGAAAGGAACTATTAATATCCTTCCAAACCTTAGGAGATCACCATCTACTTAATAATAAATGGTTTTCTTTCTTGTTTTCATATTCACTTACGTACTTACATATTTACGTATACTTTAGGTTTTGTGTCGGTGTGTTGTATGGTTATATGCACATGTGTTTATGATTTTGCTCATCCATGTGGGCTCATGTGGAAGGTAGAGGTTGACACCAAGAGTCATCAGTTTTCTCTCCTAGTCAGGATCTCTGTGGAGCCTCAAGTTCACTGCTTTAGCTAGACAAGCTGGCCATTGAGACCCTGGAATCTGTGCATTTGTCCTTCCACAGTGCTGGGTTGACAGGTACATGCGGGGCATGCAACACAGGGCTGTAAGCTTGAACTGCAAGTACTTTACCCATTGGAAAATCTCCCCAGTCTCTCCTTTTCCATATTCTGAGGCTGAATATAGGAATGTTCCTCCTGTTGCAATAAGGTCTGAGCCATTTACTATTATTTTGTTTCTTTTAACACTTAAAATTTATACCATCTTTCATGTGAAAAAGTACTAGGGACACCTAGCTGAATAGTCATGAATCTTGTTTGTTTTTTTTTTTTCTTTTCTTTTCCTTTTATCTTGCCATCTGGGATTGCATTCTCATTTTCAGAAACAATTTCTTCTCCAGTGGAGATTAACCTCTGAGAAGCATGCTGGAGCTCTCCTGTTTGAATCTCTATTTGCTCCCTGTGCCCCTCCCCACTGTACAGTGGGTCCCTCAAAGCTGAGCTCTATGGACTGAATCAATAGCTTCCTTTGCAGAATAATTTGCTTTAGACTTGTCCAATGGGGAAAAGCAGAAGAAGAGAAGACAGTGTCCCATCACCGGTCCAATGATATCACTGTGATATCACATGCCAAAGGCTGAAGCTCAGGTCAGGCTCTTCTGCAGTGAGGTATATCTTTGTAAGCTAAAGGCTTATCCCACTCTTATTGCCCAAAGGAGAAAGACGACATCCCTTGCTTCATGTTCCCTAAGCCCTTCTACGGTTTTGCAAGTAGTCCTATTTTTAAGAGTTCCCCAAATTCTCTAAATTCAGCATGCTACTTCCTCTCAGCCAGGTTTCTGACAGATCCTACATTTCCCCATTATTTTTTAAGGTCCTAGCTTCTTCTCTAGATCTTTCTGTGCTGGATCAAAACTCTCAGCAGATTCCAAAAAGCACTGCTGAAAAAAAGGGTAGACTGAATGCAAGCACATGCCACTCTGCACTAATAAAGTCGTCATGTATCATTACCGCCACTTTTATGACCTTCCAGGACGGTCACCAGGCACCTCGGGGTAACCCCAATGCCCAGTGCATGAGACTTCTGGGTGAAAGATAATGGGCTCAAGCTAAATTAGAACCATTACTGAGTGCTTAGTTTTTCTACAGCAATTGGAGCTCTGACATGCCCTCTGCTAGTGGCACAATAATGTGCTTCGGTCACAGAATGTCATTTTCCCCAAACCTCATCGCTTTCCTCTACGTGTTGAAATTTTCCAAATGTGAGCAGGGAAGTACCCAATTGGCAGGCTGGAAAGGGCAACTTCCCTGAAAAACAGGGTTAGAGGAGGCAGAGGGAAGGCAACAGGTTCTGGGCAAGTGGAATCGTAGCTTTGAACTGTGATGAAGAAAAGTAACATCCCAGGAAGAGAAGGTCTTGGCTCCCCTTCAGCTCCCAAGGTGATATTCATACTATTTATAAGAAAGAAAGGAGTAACTGGGACAGATCCAGGGACATGGCACTATGCTAAGTAGGGGGCTTTTCTGAGGGAGTTGGTGTAATGAAAAGCCAAAACTGGTAGATAAGAGTGAGGCAGAACAACTCTGAAGCAGACAAAGAGACTAGTCCTCTTATGGCCTCCAACTTACAGCATGATTGATTCTATGTTCCAGAAGTTGTTCTTTAAGTATTGAGGTCTTCTAGGAGGATGTAAATATGATGATTCTCAGGCTAGGTCAGTGGAGTCAGAACTTCTGAGGAGCCCTGCATTCTCCCATGATTCCCTGCTGTATGCTGAAACCAACCTGGCATCTGCTGGTATGTGTTATGGCCAGTGTGGAAGTAATGGGCCCCCTTCCCCATCTCTTCAGAAAGCAGGCACAACCACCAAAGGCACAAAAGAAGAGGCCTGGAGGTTTGGTGTAGGGGATGAGAAAGATTTTATAATGGAGACAGAGCTCGGTCATCTCATAGTTCATTCAGAGAACCTTTTGTTTTTAAGTTAGGCAGTGCCTGGATGCCTGGAGTCTCACAAAAGATGTGCCGCGGTGGGGCAAAGCAGATAACATTGCTTTAGATAAGTTGGATCTGGAATGTCCCTTAGGACCACCTCTTACAACTTGTTTGTCTGCCCAATGTTATTGAAAGGTCGTAAAAACTTGGGCCTACTAGTAGATCTTTTGACTGCCATGAACGTGACTTTGCAGTGGACTCTACCAGCTGCTGGTTTGTCTCCTTAGTTCCTAAGCAGAATGGATGTGTCTGCTCTGTGATCCCATCATGGCTCGGTGCCTCATTGTGATGTTTAAAGCATTGGGTCCAGTAGGCTGAAGCCTCTGAAACTATGAGACAAAGTAAACCTTTCTACTTTTAAAGTATATGAAGGGCATGTTTCAATAACAAAAACCCAACTAACATGCTCTCCCTGTGTTTTATAAATGCCTCCACCCCCAGTGCTCTAGAGTTTCTTACCTCAAGCTTAAATGGAGGACTCCAGGTCATGTCTTGCTTCTAATTCTAAGTCTGCTGAGTCATATTATTGCTCCCTGTTTATCAGAAACCCTGCTGCTAAAAACCTTACTGGTAAAACCTGGTTGGTAGGTGTTTGATCTCCCACCCACAAAGGGCTCCTTGGGGAAGCGAATCAGC